CTAATTAGACCAGGAGACCTTCCGGAGACCTTCCAGACATCCTTCCAGGCAAAGCTGGGAGCTTGGCCGGCCTGCAAACTGCCCCCAAATGGCCCTCAGCCCCTCACCCAGGCTGGCCACGCCCCCCAGCAGGGACCCTCACCCTGATGGGGGCATGGCCAGCCTATAAATGGCTCTCAGCCCCTTGCCCAGGCCAGCCACATCCCCCAGCGAGGACACCCACCCTTGATCTGGGACCCCTTTCAGGGCAGACCAGCCGGCCCCCACCCATGCACCAGGCCTCTATCTATACTAATAAAAGGGTAATATGCTAATTAGACTGGGAGACCTTCTGGACATCCTTCCAGACAAAGCCATGGTGGCAGGGCCGAGGCAGAGGCGGTTAGGGGCGATCAGGCCAGGAGGGGAGGGCAGTTGTGGGTGATCAGACCAGCGGGGGCGGAGGCAGTTGTGGGTGAGCAGGCTGGCAGTGGGGGGCAGTTGGGAGCGAGCAGGCTGGCAGGCAGAGTGGTTAGGGGCGATCAAGCAGGCAGGTGAGCAGTTAGGAGCCAGTGGTCCTGGATTGCAAGAGGGATGTCTGACTGCCGGTTTAGGCCCGATCCCTGTAGGGACATCCACCGAGGGGTCCCAGATTGGAGAGGGTGCAGGCCAGGCTGAGGGACACCAGCCCCCCCCCCCCCCCGGCCCCCATGCACAAATTTCGTGCACTGGGCCACTAGTATATATAGATTAGACATTTTTCTTTACTCATATTTTAAAAATTAGATACAAACCAAGACATAATGTAATAACTTGTTAATCAAATTAATCTTAAATTTTCTCTATAATCTTACTTTTATAAATAGACATTTTCTTTAGGGAACCACCTGGATCTTTTTATTTTATTTTTTAAATGTTTTTATTAATTTCAGAGAGAGGGTGGGAAAGGGAGAGATTGAAACATCAATGATGAGAGAGAATCATCAATTGGCTACCTCCTGCACATCCCTACTGGGGATCAAGCTCACAACCTGGGCATGTGCTCTGACAGGAAATTGAGACAGTGACCTTCTGGTTCATGGCTCGGTGCTCAGCCACTGAGCCACACCGGCTTGACTCCTGGATCTTTTAAAATTCTCCCAACTTAAGCATGTTTACTAATAAGGGGAGACCATTTTTAATGTACTATTTTCTTCTTCATATACTTCTTGAGAAGATTCTCGGGAAAAATTTCAGTTTCATTTATATTTTGCTTTTTCCTCATTTTCTTTTCAGTAAGGGAAAGAGAAATGTCAAAACCCTGTGTACCCAATCCATCTCCAAGTAGAGATGTAGCTTTTTTGCAAAAGGCATTTCTTTTTCACTTTTGAAATGTTATTTCTTCCCACCTCACCTGTCTTCTTAGGATGATGATACAATACCAGAGCATATTTCTCAGCTGAAAGGACCAGGTCAGTTACATAAAATAGTATATTTTACACTAATGAGTATATGATAAGATGGTTTTAAATGCCTGACAAAGGTCAATCACATTGTCTTTACTAGAATGGTTACATGCCTCTTATGGTGGGCTCTGTCAAGCTTTCTCTCTATACAGGGATGCTCTCTGAATCTATAAATATTACTACCACTATTAGGAAATTTTGGCCCATGTGATTTCTATCCTCTGTGTCTGCTGTTCTTAACAGTCTATCACCTTTGCCTTATGGGTATGCTGTAGAGGTGAGCAGGAGGAAAAGAAGTTTGGGGGGGGGCAGAGATAAGTGCCAACTATTAGTACTCTCTTAATGGGGACCACTGTCGGAGTTAAAGATGTGGGGGAAGAGGAAGGCAGATGAAAGGACTTAGGGTGATTTGGGAATCGTCAAGCAAGAGGATTAGGGTAGGAGCCCTGCTAAGAATGTTCTATATGACAACTTGGACTCAATACTTATGTAATTGTCAATGTTTCTGAGGCCCATTAATCCCAAACTCTGATACCTTCATGTCATAAAACTCCAGATGCCTGTGTATCCTAGCCTTGTAGCCTTCCACCATTCTTCCACTGATGAGATGGAAAATGAATCTGAGGAAATAATCATGATAGCTCCTCCCAGGTGAGGTAAAGATAGTCGTGTGGCAGGAATTACTGTGCAGAGAAGGTGCTCTGGGCCTCGGCCCCCCATCCACCCAGGCCAACTGCTGAAGTACTGGTACGTGGCTCCCACTGCATAGCCACCAAGGTGAACTGGAGCATCAGATTAGTCTGTAGGAGTCACCCTGGTTGTTTCTCTTCTGATGTTACAGTACCAAGGACAAGAGTGGACAAGGGGTCATTAGTGAGACAGAACTGTGAAGGATGAGGAAAAATGCCTGGTTCTGGCTGGGAAGTTACCAAACTGTTAAAATCCAGTTCTTCTCGACTATGTCATTTCTCCCTGTGAGTGTCCTTTACTACTCACATGCATTTCACTTCTGGTCACCAGAAGCTTAAAGGCTTTCCTCTAGACCAGAGGTCCCCAACCTGTGGGTCTCGACTCCTTTGGGGGTTGAACGACCCTTTCACAGGGGTTGCCTAAAACCATCGGAAAACACACACACACACACATATATATATTGTTTTTGTGATTAATCACTATGCTTTAATTATGTTCAATTTGTAACAATGAAATTGGGGGTCACCACGACATGAAGAACTGTATTAAAGAGTCACAGCATTAGGAAGGTTGAGAACCACTGCTCTACACCAAACAGTTCTCTATGACACCAGCTGGGTGTCCTACAATTTAATTCAGTTCTAACACTGTCGACATGAAGACAGTGTCAGAGGCCACAGGCCAAGTGCTCAGTCCCACAAGAATGTCTCCTCCCCTCACCCACCCCCCACACACACTTCAGAAGCTGGTCACAAGCCCAGCACCTCTGCTTCTGACCAACTGACTACGCAGCGGTCGCCAACTGACTACTGGTGGCCCGTGAGGTCTGAAAGGTTGGCGACCACTGGATTAGAGGCTCCAAAGACCCACCCTCCTTGGGTTTAATTTCCTAGAGCGGCTCACACAACCTGAGGAAACACTTATGCTGTTTACTAAAAGGTATGATAAAGGACACAGATGAAAACCTAGATGAAAGAGAAACACAGGGCAAGGTATGTAGGATGGGGATGGAGCCTCCATGCCTGTCTGAACACACCACTCTCCCAGCACCTCTATAAGTTCACCAACTATTTCCCCTGCCCCCATTCACAGCACACACTTCTCCAAATAGCCAAGTCTTTCATCTATCCCCCATGGATATGGTTGTCTCTTTCAGAGTAGCTATAGATCTGAGCATCTTCCTTTAAGTATGGTGCCTAGATGGAAAAATATTCCAGGTATGAAACAGATAAGGGCTTTCATTAACTACCTCTTCCATTCTATATTCTACCACCTGAAAGATTAAAGTACTATAAAGAACTTGGGCTTTGAAACATAGGGCCCAAATTTTATTAGTGGTCATATTGGCTGAAATGTTAAGCAAGTTACTAAATACCTCTGGGACTTTTTAAAAAAAAAAGATATTAGAGGAAGCTCCAAGGAGAGACATCCATCTGTTGCTTCCTGTACATTCACCAGCTAGGGATCAAACCCATAACCTAGGTACGTGCCCTGAACGGAAACTGAACCCATAACCTTTTGGTGCACAGGATGATGCTCCAAACAACTGGGCCACACTGGCCAGGGCCCTCTGAGCCTGTTTTTGTCATCTATAAAGAGTGTTGTGTGTTTTTTTAAATATATTTTATTGATTTTTTACAGAGAGGAAGGGAGAGAGATAGTCAGAAACATTGATGAGAGAAACATCGATCAGCTGCCTCCTGCACATCTCCCACTGGGGATGTGCCCGCAACCCAGGTAACATGCCCTTGACCGGAATCGAACCTGGGACCTTTCAGTCTGCAGGCCGATGCTCTATCCACTGAGCCAAACCGGTTTCGGCTATAAAGAGTGTTTTATCTACTCTCCCACAGGTATGCTATAAGAGTTTGTAAGTGCTTAATATAGTAGACTTCAGTAAGGAGTAACTAATTTAACAGTATAAGACCATATCTCTTAGTAGTCATACTATTTGTTCTTACTCAACTGTTACTATGTTGAGAACAGAACCTACTCTGGCTAGTTTAGCAGAAATAATTTATACCACGACTCAGTACACATAAATATGTAATTCAATCTTCATAGTATTTACCCACCTGACAAGTGTCATTCTCTGTTTTTCTATTCAGTTTCTTTAAATGCTAGTTATGACCCACTGTGCTGTCATGACTCACTAATGAATAGCAACCCACTACATTGTAGGGTATTAAATGGCCTAGAGAACCACTGGATGGGCAGCAACAAACTCTAGCCTGTGCTAGAACTTGGGCAGACAGCTCCGGCAGTCTGCTGTGTGACCCCACATACAAAAATGATGCGTTGGAGTCCCACACTAGTGTACCTGACTGACAGTCTGGTGCAAAGGGGTCTGGGAAATGAGTATAGAAAGCACACCTAGAAGTTTGCCGATGTTAATCAAACAAATCCACAGAAATGAAATGCTGCTTAAACATATTTAAGCAAATGTACATGGGTTGGACAAACTCAGTGGACTAAGCATACATCATTATATTTAGTTTATCCTGATTAAATTCAGTATTTCCTTGGATACAGCCTATTATTGCTATTGCAGTGAGGGAAACCAATATACTAACTACAACTCGTACAATTTACTTAATGAAACAAAATCTGGAGAAATAAACCAACTGGAAATTTCCAAGTTATATTTCCTTTCACAAACATACTCTACCCAGTCAACCTGGGGTCTACCAAAGGAAGATTAAAAAAAACACTTAAAATAGAAAAATAAACTGATGATTCCCTTCTTCCCACTCTCACCAAGAAATCCTAAGCTTCAAAGTTTAGACTCTCCCCCACCCCTCTCTCCCTCTACACACACACACACACACACACACACACACACACACACACACAGTTTTTATACCAATAAAGAGAACAAGGAATAACTTTTTTTATATATCATCTTTTAGTTCAGTTTACATAATAATTTGTATCTGTGAAATAATTCAAATTTATTGAATAAAAGGCTTTGCTTAGGATCTATAAAACAAACCAAAGAATAAGTTGTTGAATGAGTGGCATTTAGTGAGTTAAATAATACAGTTCTGGGGATCTATAACTGATGTACGTACGTTTGATTGAAAAAAACAAAAAAACAAACAATTAGGTTACCATGAATATTTATACAACAACAAATGTAGAAAAACACAAAAAAGTTCAATATGATCCCAACAGATTACCTTTTTCCTCGATCATAAGAGAACCAAATATTTTTAGAATCTAAAGCTTTTAAGTTTACGGAAGTGCACAACACCAAACAAAAACTCTTTATTTCTCATTTTCTATTCTTGGCATAAATTTTAATTTTTTCCAGTAGAACCAAAACCTCCTGAGCCCCTTTCAGTGTCATCCAAAGCCTGAAAAGATAAAAGGTGGCAAGCCATCTGGTTAATTTCAGATCCTCTCAGTTCTCCCCAGCTCCTCATTAATAAGACTTTCATTCCTGCTAATCCATCTTTAAAAAAGATTACAGAAAACAAAACTAAATTTTAGTTCCATAAATTTAAATATTGAATAATTTTCAAAAAAGCTAAGGAAATAGAATTTCACAGTACATTTAAATGATTTATTACCCATTATAATGCTATATGATAGCCATGAAAATCATCAAGAAATTCTACAGCTAAGATTTTAATTTTGCTTAAAAATGGGACTAGTCATATATGCTATTTAGTTACAGATAGCATATTAAATCTCACAATTTTAATTTCCTTCACTGATCATTCATTCCCTACTCAGTTTTTATGATACTTACTTGAACTTCCTCTATTTCTGGATAAAAAATCCTTTCACAAATGAGCTGTGCAATTCGGTCACCCTTTTTTACTTCAAAGAGAAAAAAAAACACAAAAGTGTGTTACTGATCTTTTATTAATGCATTCTCTGTACTCTGCCTTATACAACGAGAACTATAGCATGTGCCATTTAGAAGTACATAACTTGGAAGACTCACTGCATCTATGTGACCATATGTATTTAACATACCTTCAAATTTTTCTTTGCCAAAATTAAACAGTACAACACCAAGATTTCCTCTATAATCTTCATCTATAACACCAGCTGGAGAAAAGAAAAATAATGTTAATTTGTTTTATGCTACCAAAACACTAAGAGTGTGCAATTACCTCAAAAATCACTCTTATGTGGCTCTGAAATTTTTATAGATTTTTTAAAATTAATATTTAGAGAGATAGGGAGAGGGAGATAAGAAACATTGATGAGATGGAAATATTGATCAGTTGTTCCTGCACAGCCCCCTGGTGCGGTATTGAGCCTGCAGCCTGGGCTTTTACCCTGACTGCAAATCGAACCAGTGACCTCTCTTGATGCATGGGTCAACGCTTGACCAGCTGGGCTTTACCAGCTGGGCATGGCTCTGCGATTTTTATACAACTGAGTAAGCATCTGGTAACTACGTAAAGCATCAAAACTAAGAAATCTTACTAATATACAAATAAGAATTTAGAAGGTAGTCCTTATTTTCCAACCGGTTACCCTTATAAATGGTGACAGTTTCCTACTCTAAACTGCGAGCAGGCACTTCGCAACTCAGACAGGTGGTCCTGAATTGCTCTCCAAACTCACTGTCTATCCGCTGCACACCTGCCAAAAAAGACCAGGAGAAAATTATGATTTGGATTTTAAAGGCTTTTCCTGGTGGCAGCTTCCTACTAATCTCCACATTGAAATATGATTGAGTCATAAATAAAAATGTCTGAAAGCCTGAAGATCGGCAGTGGAGTAAGTCAACGCTGACATCGTTAAGCAGCCATCTACCAAATATCAGCACATTTCATTTCTATAATAAAAATGGAGCTGAACCTTTTAATTTAAGCCTCCACCTTTTCTTAGACAGTGATCTCTCAGAAGACATTAACACATTAGCTTAATAATGAGCACACTTTCACTTAGAATCCTGTATAATTAGTACCTGTTTGAGACTATAAACACAAGAGCAAGAGAAATGTAAGCCAGAGCCCAGCTTTGGCCCAGAGAAGTACATTTACCAGACTTGTTAGCACTTATCTTTGAGCCAGGAATTTAAATGTTTCCATAAATACAAGCACAGATAATATAGGTGGCACCAAGGCCTTTTCATTTCCGTTTTTTAAACATTGAAACTTAATTCACAATTCAACAATTTTTAGTGTATTCAGAGTTGTACAACCATCGCCATAATCAATTTCAGAGTATTTTCATTAGCCCAAAAGAAACCCCCTATCTACTAGCAGTCACTCTCCAATCTCCCCTCCACTCCTACCAATTTCCTTTATACCCGCTAATTCTTTTCCCTTGGTTTGTAAAATGCTGGATAGAATTCATGCAAACTTAATTCAATGCAGGTCCATGTAATGTCTATCTAGTAACACCTACCTTCTAAAAAAAACAAAACACAAAGCCAAAACAAAAAAAACACACCCTCTTATCAAAGGAAAAAAGGAAATAAAAGTAATCAGGAACTTAGCTCCATGGGTACCAATGCGGTTGGCAGGCTTCATTATTTAAAGGTCAACTGAAAAAAAAAAACCTTTTTTTTTTTAGAACAAGGGTAAGCATTTCCTTTCAATTTTCTCATATAGGGGGAAGGGGAGAAAGTAAATTTAAAAAAAAAAAAAAAGTTCCACCATAGGAAAAAAAACAAAACTCAGAAAAATCAACATTTTAGATTTTTCCAGCGGATCCCAGGAGAAGTTTAAATTAACCCCTGTGCTTTATGAATGAATTACTAGGGATGTGAAATTGAATTTAAGTATTTTTTAAAACAGTCTTCCTTTCTACTTATACAGCAATGACCAATTCAAAGAATACTGAAGCCTGATTTCTTTCCCCATTACCAGCTGACCATTAAATTTGTCCTTAATATTTATTGATACAATTAAGACAAAGATGGGACCAACTCTTTCCTTTAGATCTATGTGCAGAGAATTTTGGCTGCAGGAATAATGTAGATGAGATTTAATGCAGAAAGCCCTCAGCAGGACATGCTACCCATGGCCTGCACAGATGACCACCGAAGGCAATGGAATCCCATACTGCAAGGCTTGGAGTACAGACTAGGACTCATTTATCTAGATTAGAATGTGCGAGATAAGACAATGTGGATTGACTTCTGAATTCTTTTGTTCCTATTTTACCAGAACATTTTTAGATTACCCAAATAGTACAGATACATATAAAGCAAAAGCTAATAATGTTCCCCTACCCTCCCTCAGGTAGCCAATATTACAGTAATCTATATAATATAAAAGCCTAAGCAACCATTACCACTGGTCTCCACCAATTACTATGACAACACACTGACCACCAGGTGGCAGATGCTCAATGCAGGAGCTGCCCCCGGGTGGTCACTACACTCCCACAGCCTCTGCCCCTGGCTGGCCTGCTCTGATAGGCCCTGATTGCTGGCCAGGCTGAGGGACACCACCCGTGCACAAATTCGTGCACCAGGTCTCTAGTATATTTTATACATTACTTTCTTTTTTGCCACATAGACATTCTTTGAGACTAATATGCATGTCTTAGTCATTCTTTTTAAATCTAAGATATACAGGACCATTATTGTATGTATTTCTTAAATATTATCACACATTCATGTTATTTTCACACTTTGCTATAACACACAGAGCAGCCCTGTACATATGTCTTTGTGTATTACTGCTTTTTATCCTCATCAAATAGTTTCCAAAAAGCACTTTTCTGGGTCAAAGGGTGTGTACATTTTAAATTTTAGTGGACAATTTGCAAAAAAAGGTGTAGCACTTCAAACTTCCATCAACGGTATTTAAGAAGGCCCATTTCCAAAGTCTTTGCAATACCAGAGGTAGCAATCTTTTTAATTCCAGCCAAAGTAATGAGAAAGAAATGAAATGGTATTTCATGGCATTACTTTGCATTTCCCTGGTGACTAGGGAGGCTGGACTTTTCCTCCTCCATATGATTGCTGCGTACTTGCATGTTCTCTTCTATATTTTGTTTATATTTTTTTCTAATCTCTTTGGGTATTTAACTCTTTTGCATATGACTTAAGTATTTATTTTTTTAGTCTATGCTATCTCCTAAGATACAAAAACACTCCCTTTGTGTAAAGGCCTTTACTATCTATCTATAAAGTTGTTTTATCAAACTCAAATGGTTGGGTTTTGAATTTTGAATTCTGCAATGCCAGGTGATCCACCAAGATTTTATGCGCAGCACACAGACATGGGAAAACCTTCAACTAACTAAAAGAAATGAAGTTGTTTGGCAGGGAAAAAAAGCTCTCAATTAAATTTACTTTTTAGCATGAATGCCAAAAGTATTAAGAAAAACAAAACAAAAACAGTTCCAAGTTCACTTATCACTCAAAGGCAACTTGACCTTCAAGAAAAACCCACATAGTAAGGGACATACATTACACCAGGGATATTTCTCTTCATGAGAAAGCAGCAAGTGTTTTGAAGTTATCACTGGAAAAATCATGCATTGGAACTGGCAGAGTGATTAACTGACTTCAGGCAATGTTTTACTCTGTCAAGACTTTGGCATGTCATTTGTTGGAAACCTTTAGTGAAAACTATCCACACCTACCAGATGTGAGTTCTGAACAGAATCCTGCATACTCAACTTTTCCCTTTGACCCTTATTTACTGCCTGGGATTTCTAACAACATCTTTCCTCTGAAATAAAAACTGTGGCCAACTGTGATAGACCCGTGCCTAAGAGACATTTTTAAGATACTCTGCATCCAAGAACACACCACAATGTGATTTTATAAATACCAAACCAATCACCAGGCAAACTAACTTTCCATTTCCTTTACATGAATTTTTTTCAGAGGGTTTGCTTCAACAGAGCAAAAATTAGTAACAAAGTTTCCACATTAAAAAAAAAAAGTCTGTGAAGTCCCTAGGGCACAGGAAATAGAACTTCCAGGATTTAATATGAGTCAAATAGTATTAGAGTTACATACATTAGCATTTAATCCTCCAACCCTTCACAGGAGTGCACACTAATTTTCATTGTTGTTTCTCCAAAGCCCATGTGCTTTCCCCAACCCTTTGAAATTTCTTTTTAAATATACACAATTTTTTATATCCTTAAATTATAGTCCTAAATTACCATACTTGACCTTGTATACAAGTATTTTTGAAAATCACATAACTGAGCCCAGGTAATTAATCTTCAATCCCAGGACGTGGTCCATCCCTGTTTTGTCAAACTCAGCTTCTCTTAGGAACTGCTTTTGGGCTCTTGTCTTGTCCCACAGCACCACCTAGTGACACCATGGGGAGACTAAGGGGCAGGCAGGAGATAGTTCAAGGACAGGTCTCAATCGTGCTTATAACCTATGCAGTGCATGTGACAATGAGCTAACTCAGGACAGACTATGGCTGGTGGTAGATGGGCAGGGGGATCAACAGCATTAAATGGTGGTGGAAAGAACAAGTGGAGTGAAATCCTATGGATGGAGATTCCAGGTTTTTAATGTGTCTACTTGGACTCATCTTTGAGCCAGTTTTCTCATCTGTCAAAAGTAGCTACAGCATGTTAGTGAAGCACTCGCCATTATCAATGGGGATAAGGAAGGGTCAGGACATAACCTTGTCAATGGGGTCTGTCACCAGTAATGAGATCCAAGTAAGGGAGGCATATCAGGAAGGTGAGAATTTCCGTTCAGTAAGGTCGTACAGGATGGCCAGCAGAGGAGCCTAAGGTTCCCTCATGAAAGGGGCCTGGTGAGGAAGTTGTTGACTTTGGGAGACACTGAGTAAGGCCTTGTTATAAGGGAACAGGAGCCATGGAAGACCTGCTCAGCAAGAAATTGAAACAGGCCCAGCTGGTGTGACTCAGTGGTTGAGCATCAACCTATGAACCAGAAGGTCAGGGTTTGATTCCCTGCCAGGGCACATGCCTGGGCTGTGGGCTCGACCTCCAGTGTGGGGCATGAAGGAGGCAGCCGATCAATGATTCTCTCTCATCGATGATGTTTCTATCTCTCTCTCTCCCTCTCTGAAATCAATAAAAATATATTAAAAAAAAAAAAAAAAGAAATTGAGACAGGAAAGGACAGTGTCTTCTCTCTTGACTTTAGGGAAAGATTCTCCTTTTATCTTTTGACAAACATGGATACCTCTCTTAAGGAGGTAAGAAAAATCTTACTATAATATATACCTGCATTTTCTAGAACCTTTTGCTTAAGTGACATAAAAGCTCTTCCTTCTCTTATAATAATAAAATTTCTTCTATAAATGGAGTCATGTTTGGACTAAATGCAGATTAACACTAAACCAAGGCAAAAACCCTATCTGTCAGAGAGTGTCTAGTTAGCCTAGTAGTAAAATAACATACATTTCACATAATGGTCATTTAAAAATTAAACATATTCAAATAGCATTTATAACTATCATGATTGCCTGTTATTCAGAGACTGAAATTTCTAAAAGGCAAGACACAACAGAAACCATTTCCTTTTCTTGAAATAAAATAAGAATAAAATTTGGCATTAGATTACTTCCTCTTAATAAGCAAATGCAAAGTAAATACTTAGAAATATTTACAGAATAAGAATGTAAATACAATACCTCCTACATCTATAAAGTGTTTTGCAGCCAAGCCGGAACGTGGAGCTAAAAAAAAAAAGAGAGAAATTGGCTATTTTAAGGGGGAAGGGCAATTACTTGATATAACTGACACAATTTAAGCATGTTATTACTCTTATTTCCCATCACTGATATCTTCATCTTCACTTTACTTATTACTCTGTATTACCAAAGTAGAAAAGAATAGTTTAGAAAAATCTGACAAGGTTTAATTTGAAGCCAACTTAAGCCAGTCCATCCAAGTTCAGCCAGTGGAGGACTAGGGCGGTGTAGCCATGGACGACTAGAATGAACTGAAAGGTGAGCAAGTGGGACAACCGAAGACAACTGTGTGAAGCAGGGCCACAATGGGAGGGCTGTAGCTGGCAGGGGCACAGAACTGAGGAAAAGGACTTTGTTTTAAAATGAGAGTTCTGAGCATGTTGTAATGTAGACGGGAAGAAGGGGATATGGGAGAGGGAGAGGGAGAGAGGGAGAGGGGAACAAGAGTCATAAACCTAATCAAAGAGTAGCAGAGCCCAGTCTAGAACTTGGGGCTCCAACTCATGATACAGATGCCAAAAGACATGTCCGTATGTAACAAGTGAACCAGCGTAAAAGGCTTAATGTCAGTTGAAAAAAAATGCCAAAAACTAAACCTTAGAAACTCAATTTACTATGCTTTTTATTCTTATTATGCCTTTTATTCTTAAAAAGAAAATATAAAAAGCAGGGGTGGGTGGGAAGAGATCAACCAAAGAACTTGTATGCATGTATGCATAACCCATGGACACAGACAATAAGGTGGTAAGTGCCTGGAGTGGGGCATCAGCAGGTCTCATGGCCAACAAGATAATGATACTCTTGCTATCACCTCCCACCCAACCCTGGGACAGGAAGGTGGGTCACAGTTCCACTTGCTCCTTAGGTTTACTTTGAAGGTAGTCAGGAAGTAATTATGCTCTTGAAAAGAAGTTTTAAACTCTCTCTCCAGGGACAAACAACTGCATCACTCTAGGAAAGTCGAACCTGAGAACTTACACTCCATTCTGTCTCAGCTCCTGCACTGTGAGGTGTTTCCCTAACACACTTCAAGGGGGCAAACCCAAAAGGGAAAAGGCTGTGTGGCCGGATATACTCTGGGACTAACAGGTTTTAGAAGTTTCACTCTCGTGATATAAAATGCCATGTGCCATTATCATGAGCAGGCCTCTATTTTCTTAAATAACAAATATTAGCCATTCTCATCACCATCTTCACAAAGAAATCTTGACTTCATATGCAGTCTGGTTTTTGAAGGGCAAGTTGGTGGTAACACTGGAAAAAGTGACAGTTAAAAGTCACCTATATTTTCAGTTTTTCTCTCAGCGAGAACCTCTTGAGCCAATGTGAGCCTTCTAAGAGCTAAAGTAAGGAATCGGAAAAATAGCAGAGATAAGAGGCAAAAGCAGATATAAGCATACCTTGTTTATTGTGCTTTGCAGATATTACATTTTTTACAAATTGAAGACCTACCATTAGCAGAGAGATTACAACTTGCTGAAGGCTTAGATGATTAGCATTTTTTAAGCACTAAAATATTTTTAAATTAAGATATGTACATTTTTAGACATAATGCTATTGTATACTTAATAGACTACAAGAGTGTAAACATTAACTTTCATATGAACTAGAAAACCCCCAAAATCACGTGACTTGCTTTATTGCGATATTTACTTCATTGCAGTGCTTTGAAATGGAACTGGAATATCTCCAAAGTATAATTATGTAAATAAAAGTTTTCAAATGGCTGCATTTGCCATCACAGTTGGCACTTCCTTATTTTAGGACTCAGGCCAAGAAATATCCCTTCCCTCTTTTATAGCCCAGATAAAACTAAGATGAAGGAACGTATCACAAAAACACCTTGAACCACTTACCTACTCTTCCATAGCACCCAGAAGGAAGAGCTATCTGAATGTCGGTTTTCACAAGGGTTTTCTCCATGGGTGGTACTGTGTAATCATAGGCACTGGAAAGATATTGAAAAAACAAAACACTGGCATTTAGATGTAGTGACTTTTTTGTGGTGAAAGAGGTGACAATATATAAATGCATTCTCCCCTGAACAAAATTTGGTTGGGAAACTGAGGTAATGATTTAGCAGGAGGGGACAGAAAAGATGAACTTTTAAAAAGTATGTGCTTCTCTAACGTGGTATGAAAAGAGGAAGATAAAGAGAGAACCAAGGAAGGAGGGTAAATAATAGCTAACATTTACAAAGCCCTTACTATGCCCCAGGCACAGTTCTGTTTTTATAACTCATGTTAGTCTCACAACAATCCTCTAAGGCAGCGGTTCTCAACCTGTGGGTCACGAACGATGAAAATACGTCCTGCATATCAGATATTTACATTACGATTCAAAACAGTAGCAAAATTACAGTTATGAAGTAGCAATGAAAATAATTTTATGGTTGGGAGTCACCACAACATGAGAAACTATTAAAGGGTCGCGGCATTAGGAAGGTTGAGAACCACTGCAAGGGATCATGAAAAACATGCAGAGAAGGAAAGGGGACAATAGGTGGGCCACCTATCTGGGGACAGCTGGGTTGCATCTGTTCTGCTGGTGTTGGTGGATTGGCAAGCACACCCAGCTGCGGCCATGACCTTTCACGAGCTGCGGGGAGAGCGGACCACTGTGACCAGCCCTGGAGATGCACACTGCTGAGGAACTGATGCTCCAAGATCCACCCAGCTAGTGCTGCTGCTGCTGTTTTTACTGTCGCCCCCTCTTTGATAGAAATTTAAAAATAAGCAAAACTGGAAGTCACTTTGAAGACCTTCATTAAGACTGGTAAAGCGGTAGTGTATCTTTCTTCAATGAAATTTGCTCTCTTCAAATAGTTACACACTAATTTATTAAAGAGATCCATGTCTATTTCAGTATATAAAGATGCTGAAAGTACCTTGAATCCATCTCTTCTTAGATCAGAACAGTGCCCAGACATGGTACAGTCAAACTATGTGTTGTTATACTATTTCTACTTATGAAACTAAGGGGCTGAACTATAGTCCCTTTCAGCTACAACAGTCTATACCTCACTTTTCTTTTTCTTTCTCTTCTCCCTTACTATCATCACAGTTCTTTCTCCTCTTCTCCTGTACTCACTTATGACTTAGACCATAGTTCTCAGGTTAGAATTACCTGGAATGCTTTAAAATACATCCTAAGGCTCAGACCACTCCCTATCTCCAATCCGCTTTTCACTTACCTTAATGGCCCTAAGAAGTGGGCACAGGAGTCCAGTGAAAAAAGGCACTTAATTCAGGGTCAAAAATTCTCCTACATTCAAGCCTTTGGATTAATCAATTCAGCTCCTTACAAACCCCTCACCTGTAAAAGGTAACACTCACCTATTCAGACTGTTGTGAGGATTTAAAAATATATACATTAAAGTTTTTAGTATAGGTAAAAAGTATAGAAGTGAAAAGGGGGGGGGGGGGTAGTATTACTAACATTTCTGCTTTTCCTATTCAAGCCCTTTGTGAAATTTCCAGTCCTTGGGGCAAACTTAAACGGAGAAATTTTATTCACGCTTTAAACAAAAGCAGCCTTCATTAATCCTGCCTAGGTACGTTCACACTAAGCACCTAGGCTCCACCCTGGCTTTTCCTTCTATTATGCACAGCGCCATGCTCGGGCCTTGAAGGGTAAGGCTTGCCTTAAGCATCTCTACCTTCCACGCGGAGAGGATGCAATCAATGTTGCAAAACAAGGCCGCAGAGAACATTCCATGTTGCAAAATAACGCCTCAGGGCACATTTATGAATATTTGTTTGCTATTCTACACTCTTTGCCCAAATGGCTGTTAAATTCAGGTTAAAGAGGAAAGCTAAAATTTTCCAATATATAAAAAAAAAGGCGGAAACTGTACATATATGCAAAAAACGTCTGTCTCTGTAATCTTTTAAATGGAAGTTTCAAGCCGTGGCAGCAGAAGGTAAGCTAACGTGACAGAAAGCTCTCACGTTCGGGAATTAGCCCCAGTCGGCTTGGCTCAGTGGATAGAGCGTCAGCCTGCAGACTGAAGGGTCCCAGGTTCGATTCCGGCCAAGGGCACAAGCCTGGGTTTCGGGCTCGATCCCCAGTGGGGGGTGTGCAGGAGGCAGCCGATCAATGATTCTCTCTCATCATTGATGTTTCTCTCTCTCTCTCCTTCTCCCTTCCTCTCTGAAACCAATAAAGAAATACATTTAAAGTTCGGGAATCAGCCTTCTGTCGGGGGCAGGGATGGAGGGGACGGAAGGCGGCCTCCCCCGGCCCTCCGCCCGGGCGGCCGGCGCTCACCTGTACAGGTCGTAGCCCGCGGGCGCGCGGGACCCCCTTGTTGGGGGCGGTGCGTGCTCGAGAGCCGCACGAAGCGGCCGCAGGCCGTCCTCCTCCGCGGCCGGGGGCCCCTTTGTGGGGGGAAAAGGGGAAGGGTTTTTTTCCGAACCAGGGATTGGGGGAAGAAAAACGGGGGGGGGGGGCCCAAGGGAAAAAAAGAGGGAAAAAAAGGGGCCCGGCCCCCCCCCCCAAATTTTG